GATTTATCGGACTTGAGGATTCACAGTATTTCCCATCAAACTAAACAGCCTTTATCAATAGAAAAAAAATACATACATATGTGTGTGTATGTATTTTTTAAAGCTAACCCACCATCTTGGACTTCCTTTCATATATGTTTTTTCATGAAGCATTCCACGCACGTACTAAACATGAAGACACTTAGGCATGCTAAAAATGCGCCATTTGGCCCCACACCAGGTCGTTTTTGCCATTAGCAATGTGCCAGAGAGTTTAACTGGACAATTTTAGCATTATCATCAACAATGCGTAAAACTGACTCTTCGGAACCAGAAATACCAGTTTCTCATGAAAATGGGTAGCTACTATGGCTAGCCATGGAAAAGACTTTGAAAGTCATTCCCATCTATTCTCTGCCCACCTAAACATCAGCAATGATTTTCTAACAATCACAAAGCAAGTCTAGTCACCAGACTGACTGGCAGTAATAGTAATCACCGTATGATTGCTTAGCTTATGCCACGTTTAGGCCTGGTTGCTTGACCGTGTTATCTCATAAATCCCTCACACCAAGCCTATGAGAGAGGGGCAGCCTATTCACTCAACAATGGCTAGCGAGCGTTACTATTTGTCAGGCAGTGTTTTCTTTTGCTGTAGTTAAAGTATTGAATGGGAGAAAGTCCTTGCCTCCAGAGTCTGCAATCTAGTAGGGGAGAAAGACAGCAAGCAAATAAACACACACATTCATAGATATGGGTATGGATTTAGACATGGGTGTGAATGTGGAGAATTAGGTCAGGTAGAGATAATCGCCACGTAAAATACTAAGTCAGGATAAGAAGGAGAAAGAGAGAGGTGTAGGAGTTCCTATTTTATAGAGCGTGACTAAGAAGGATTTCTAAGGAGATGACATTGAACCACGGAGATCTGAAGACGGAACGGGAAGGAGTCCTGCCTGGTGTCTTTGAGGAACAGTTTCTGGCAGACAGACAGATGTAAATACACTGAGATAACATTGTGTTTGGGGTGTTCGAGGAATAGTGGTGGGGAAGCACTTGGGTTGAGTAAGGGATGGGGAACATCAGAGGTCCAATCAAGCCTGGGTTTTGGCATATTCTCTAAGTGTCATGGAAGGCTATCTGGGATTCTCAACATAGCAACACCATCCAGCTCTAACTACCATGTGGAGAGAATGAAGGGAAGGCAAAGGTGACAAACTGGGGGACTGGTTAGGCAGCTGTCATTGGTACACAGGGAGAATGATGGTGGTTAGATTAGAGACAGAGAGCACTGGCAGAAGTGGGAAGTGGCTGTATTCGGGAGATGTTTTCGTGGTAAAGTCCACAGGATTGGCTGGTGGCTTTGAATATAAAGTGAAAAAGAGGACTCAAGGATGACTCCAGTGTGATCTTTACATGCCGGTGAATGGTTGTGTCACTTCCTGAGATGGGATGGCAGGGTGAGTAGGTTTGGTGGGGGAAATAAGGAGTATTTTGAGGACCCCAATTTTATGGATGAGAAAAACAAGATTGAAAGAGGTTAACCTAATTAACCTCACAGCGAGAAAGAGGCCAACATTGAATTCCAACCCAGGCTTTTCTGACCCTTAACCAAACGCTCCTCCACCTTATCTTCAATACTTCCCTGTGCGCCAGTGAAATCCTACATCTCTAGTTCTCTCCTGAAACTCTCAGCTCCATGAGAGCCGTTGATTAAAAAACTAGCGGTCTACATGTGGATATGGTTTAACTTTTCCAAGAATCAAGACATCTTGGCTTTTTATGTTGATGCTCAATTCATGCCCATGATCTGATTTCCCCATCAAGTAAATGAGGCTGAGTGAGACCAACAGTCTCATTTTGAAGAGCTGAGTCAGGGTGTTATGGATTGAATTGTATCCCTTCCCCTCAAAAAATCCATATGTTGCTACCCAAAAAGACACCAGAGATCTTTCTTTCTCTCCACAGCAAGAAGGCGGTCGTCTACAAGCCAGCAAAAAAGCCTTCACCAAGAAGTTGCTGGCACCTTGGTCATGGATTTCTAGCCTCCAGAACTGTGAGAAGATAACGCATGTTGTTTAAGCCACCCAGCCTGTGGCATCCTGTTATGACAGATCTAGCAGACAAATACACAGGGTTTCAGGAAGATTCGTGTATCTTTGTTACAATTACTCAACTCTTAAAAGCAAGAAACACTAGTGAAGGTTGAACGCCAGCTGTTCATCTTGTGCTGTGCGTCTAGGAAGCACAGATATTAAATCACCCCTGGAAAAGATAATGGGTGAGTTATTTAGCTAGTGTCCCTAACTCATACGTGGGAAATCCAGGATTTGAAAGTTAGTCTATCGGCTATTAATACTCATATATTTTCCACTGGTTCCAGGTCTGGCATTGCAAGTTGACATTCTGCATCCAAACCCAGTGCTATCTATTTTTTCGTTGCTGCCAAAGATAAAACTGAGCCCCACATAATCCCCTCTCTGCTGGAATCATTGATCGTTTTTCTCTGGTTCCCCGTGATTAGTGCTTTTCATAGGGCACCTCTGAAGTCCAAGTCCAGCTCTGCCACTTGATGGGTTTATGACTGGTAGATTTTTTTCTTTCATCCTCACCCACCCCTCCCAATACTATTGGCTAAATACCAACTTCAGGTCTGGAAAAAATATTTTATCACAGTTGGTTGAGTACCTTAGGGCATAATGACTATTCAGTTGAGCAAGAAAGGAATAATGGGTTCTCTCTGATATCCACTTCAGCCCTTCCAGTGGGTAGGGTGTGCTGGGTCCTGCTCAGAGTGTTCTGGCCATGCCTTTAGGGTGTGAGGTGGGGTGAGTCTCTACAACGTGCCTCAGAAACTCTGCACATATTTGTCACCACCTCTGCAAATCATGCATATTTGGGAATATAACTTCCCATTATCTTTGAGAGGAGTTGCAATCAGAATTAAGCGCATTTTGTAAAAGTCACCAAAAAGAGAGCGCGAGAAATCAAAGTCAAAGATGCACTATCTTCCCTAATAAATAACAAAACCTCACATATCTGCCACAAATTTTAGCTTATTAGATAAGAGATATGGGAATCTGGTCTCACATTCCCACTGACTTCATGTGTATGTATCCTGGATAGTGATAGCTGAGGACTGGACATTGTGATGTGATGGCATATGATTAACTGGAATTAACCCAAAAAGAGAGCGAGAGCGAGCGAGAGCAAGAGTGAGAGGGAGAGGGAGAGAGAGAGAGAGAGAGAGAAAGGGAAAGGAAGG